TGTGTGGCACAAAATAGATGGCTGGCAAATTTCTCTAATAACTTAATGTTGATGACTCTCTTTCAAATTATCTCCTCCCTGGTTTGGGGGGTACCATTCTATCCAGTTTTTCTTTTACTGTTCTGGCCCCTTGTTTCTCCTCTATAGTCGTCTCGTCTCTTCCTTGCCTCCAAATGTTTGAGTTTCTCTAGGTTTTGTTCTGTATTTTCAATTCTCACTCTTTGTGCTCTCCCTAGATAACCTGATCCAAACCCAGGCTTCTGTTACTGCTTATATGTTGAAGACTCCCAAATCTGTACTTCCACTTCTGACCTATGGCTTGCATCCCAGACACATATATTCTCCTGACTCCTGGGCAGCTTCATTTGGATGTATGAGCTACTTCAAATTCAGCATACTCTAATGGCACACATCATTTCCACCCCTAAGCCTGCTCCTACTTTAGTATTTCCTGTGGTCCTCAATGACACCTCCATCTCCCCAGTCACACAACCCAGGAATCCTATCTCTCTTTTAACATACCAACACATTCAATCAGCTACCCAAATCTTGAAGATTTAGCCCCTCAAACATCTAGATACATATTTGAATATAAGGGCATTCATCAAACCAGTCATTTATAATAGCATGAAAGTAGAGTAGCCTGAATACCCCCCAAAAGAAAAATGGCTAAATAAATTACATAACCACTTGGGGTTTCTGAATAATATGACATGGAAAACATGACCTAACAATAGCAATTAGGATACATTATTTCATACCATATTTTATATACGTAGAAAAAGTAGCTTATCTCTGGTCATAGTAGTAGTATTGGTAGTAAGCAAGTAAGTAGTTTTAAGTTCCATCCTCATAGGGGCCTTTGCATCAACTCTTCTCTCTCTCTATAATGTTTTCCACACCCTTTGACTAAGTCCTAAATGCACATTCATACGTTAGGTTTCATTCAGCCTAAATGTTTCCTCCTCAGGAAGTCCTCCCTTTTTCTTCTTTCTAAAGACCTTAGACCATGTACTTTGAGGTATTATGGACATACTCTCATAGTGACCTGTACTTTTTATTCATGGTGCTTATCAGTTTGAACTTATGTACAGTATTTGTGTAATTATTTCTTGAATGTCAACCTCCCTCCCTAGACTATAGGATCTGTAAGAGTAGGGTCTATGCTTGCTTTGTTTAGTACTGTATCTCCAGCACCTTGTACAGCTCCCAGCATGTCTATTAAAAGAAAAAGCAGGGCGCCTGGGTGGCTCAGTTGGTTAAGCGACTGCCTTTGGCTCAGGTCATGATCCTGGAGTCCTGGGATCGAGTCCCACATCGGGCTCCCTGCTCGGCAGGGAGTCTGCTTCTCCCTCTGACCCTCCTCCCTCTCATGCTGTCTCTCATTCTGTCTCAAATAAATAAATAAAATCTTTAAAAAAAAAAAAAAGAAAAGAAAAAGTAAAAGAACAAATGAATGAACTATATCAATGGTTTTCCAAACACGTTCTGAGGCAGCGCCTTAAAGGCCACAGTAAGGGACAAGGGAGGTGACAGTGGTTGCCAATTCCCAGGTCATTTTATTTGGATTATGTGTTGGATTCTGGGATAAGATTGTGTTTATAAAAGGAACGCCAGTGCTTCAGTAAATATTGTACAAACCCCTGAATTACATGATCTTGAAGTCTCTTCCATCTTCAGTATTCTGTGATCCTAGATGAAAATAACAAAGGGCAAATGGGATATATCATAATTAGGGAGTGACCTTCACCAGTGAGCTTGGCTGTGGTTCCTCCTGAGAGCAAGGAAGCTCCTTTTCCCTCTCTTAGATAATTGAAGATTTGAGGGACTCTTAGCCCTTTCTACTTGGCCAGGATCAACACCCAAACCTACAGTTTTCTCTCCTTTGCTATCTTTTTTACCATCAATGAACTGGTCTTTTCCCCCTTACCTCTTTAGTGCTTGTTCCAAAGACCCTAGAACCCAGCCACTTGGGGCTACTTGTAGTTCCCCTCTCACATTCCTGTACACTCATTCATGCAGTTCCCTCAGTTGACGAGTCTTTTTTCTCTGCTTTGCAAACTCATGCTATAACTCGAATGCCAACCCTTGTAAAAAGCCTTTCCCAAACCTCCTCTGTTCCCACAATATTTATATCTCTACATAGAACCTCTGCAGTTCAAATTTGGGCAAATTACATAACTGCTCTAAGCCCACTTTCTCATCAGAAAAATGTGAAGAGTCACAGGTCGGGTTCTCCAGGATCCAGATACTTACATGACTGTGTGCAGATTAATTAGGAAATGCTCTTAGGATCATCATTTGTGAGGTTAGGGAAGAACTGGGCAGAGGAAGAAGTCAAGCCGTTGATGTAATCTTAATGGGATGCATCAGCTGATGCAAGTTGTTCTACAGATAGGATGATCCATTAGAACTGTCCCATGTTGAGGTGAGAGGGCTAGTCCTTCCAACAAGGAAGATTTTATTAAAGATTTTATTTATTTATTTGATGGACACACACACACACATAGCAGGAGAAGTGGGAGGGAGAGGGAGAAGCAGGATCCCCACTGAGCAGAGAGCCAGATGTGGGGCTCCATCCCAGGATTCTGGGATCATGACCTGAGCCAAAGGCAGACGCCCAACCAACTAAGCCACCCAGACGCCCCCCTTCCAACAATCCTGATAGATACTACTAGTGGCTCTACACTGATCAGTCATTTTGGATGTGGCCTCCTTGGGAAAAGGTGTGACACTGAACAACACCAGAAGGGGCTGACAGCTCATGACTGTCTATGGAACACTCCTGACTGCTGGTAATAAGTCCTTCATTTCTGAAGGGTATCTGAGAAGTAACTTTTGGTGCCCGACATTAATAGTATCTATCTCAGGATTTTTGGAAGATTAAAATAGGATAAGTGATAAAAAGTACACAGCATATTGCCTGTCGCATAGGATTCTAGAAGAGATGGTTGTTACAGTTATTATACATAGAACTTGGTTCTGTAAGTATATAGAGCACGGTAGGGAAATCTTGTTTATTTTTGTGACTCTAGTCCTAGAATAGGGCCTGGAACCAATTAGGTTCAGTAAAGGCTTGTTGATGTGTTAATATAAAAATATACCTGTCACCTTTTGTCTGGAAGCGGATGCTATTTTGAGTTGAACTCTCAACTAAAACAAATACAAAAAGTCAATTCAACCATTTAATAACTTACAAGAAAAAAAAAAAAGGAGGCACGTTATCCACTTGCGTGAAAAAAAAGTTCCAAAAACAAGGAAAACAAAAGCAATGGAGTAGTAGTACTTGACAAATGCAGGAGCACTCCAGTTAAAATGGCTTCTGGACTTTATATTTTTGGAATATTTTTTAACTTTAGACAGGGAAGGAGATCTAGCTCAGCTTTTCCACAGGTCATAAATGGTGAGAGTGTCAATGGAACTATGAACCCAAAGGAAGTACTTACCTCCATCAATGTTTATTGGGCTTTAATTTTCCTGCATGCCCAATATGGTTTGTTAACATGTTTTGTTATTTATTTTTTTAAAGTTTATTTATTTATATAAGTAATCTCTATACCTAAGGTGGGGCTCAAACTCACAACCCCAAGATCAGGAGTCGCCTGCTCTTCCGACTGAGCCAGCCACAAGCCCCTGCTGTCATGTTTTAATACAGTATTTATTAAAGACTTCTTTGTGCCTGACACAGGTCTGGGGACACAGCAATGAGCAAAAGTTACAAAATCCCTGCCTTTATGCATCTCACCTTCTTGGTGGCAGGAGACCGACATTCTCTAAGTGATAACAGTTAGGAAGAAATATACGCAGGTGAAGAAAGAGCGGTGGTGCGACCGTGCTCCTTTGGATAAAGTGGTCTGGAAGCCTCAGATGTTGACCTTCGAGAAGGGAACTGAAGTATGCATTGAACATCAAAGAGTTAAGAGATCTTAAGAGTTCTAGTTAGAGGCAAGCTTAAAGTCTTGAACTGGACAGAGCCTGTGCATTGTAGAACAGCCACAAAGCCAAAGGGGTGAGCTGGGGGTCGTGTGGTTGGAGATGAAGTAGGCAGGAGCATATATATAATATCCATATATAGTTGAGACCACACCGCTAAGGGAGCTAGCGTGTCCAAATTTTTCAAGAGGCCACAAAGGGCAGGATGAAGCGGACTTCCAACAGCGGGGCTACAGCGACGCCTTTCCCCAACAAAAGCAAAGGGCCGAGTTAAGACTACTGCAGGGGATGAACTGGGTCCTGCCCTCAGAAGACCAACCCTCGTGCAGGGAGGAGGGCTGACCGCGGGGGCGGACCTCGGCAGCTCCCAGGCCTCCGGCGCTGCACCGGCCGCGGTTACCAGCAGGCGGTGTAGTGAGCGCGCCTGCAGCCGCCGCCGCCCGCCCGACCGTCCCAGCGAGGAGAGAGGAGGGGACCGGAAGGAGCCGCTGGTGCTGCGGGAAGTGGCAGGAGCGGGAGGCGGGGACCCACCTGGAAGCGCCGCGGCGCCGCTGTCGAGCTTCCTGCGGCGGCCACCCGAGCAAGTGCCGTGGCGGGGGCAGAGAGCGGCCACGGCGGCGGCGCCTCCCCGAGTGGCCCCCGGCGCCCTGCCCCGCGCGAAAGGTGAGCAGCCGCTCGGGGCATGTGGTGGGGGCCAGACGTGGGGTAGGGAGAATGGAGGAGGAGGGAACCCGGGGCACCATCGACTTTGGGACCCGGATTTAGAGCTGAGTGCCGGGAGGGGGTGGGTTGGAGGCGGCGGCGGCGGCGGCGGCAGCGACGGCGAAGCCCCCACGTGGGGTGGGGGTGCGCGCGCACGTGTGCGCGGGCGATAGGGGGCGGGGAGGGCTCTTGGGAGGACAAGCGCGCGCTCGCTTAGTAGCGAGCGGCCCACGTGACGGGCACGCCGAGAATCTGCCTCCACGTGACAGGCTGGGAGGCTGGTTGAGGCAAAGCATGTTGTCTGTGTGGTATAACAGTAGTCATTGGAGGCTTTAGGGTTTTCTACCGCTTTTCTTCTCTACTAGGGGGGATAGATGAGAAATAAAAGGCGGAAAAGACTTTCTGCTATTTCCCTGTTCTACACATTCTCCAGTCCGTTAATGAAGCACTGTCCAAGTTCCGAAATGCCGATTTCCCTGTACCGCCATGTTGGTTCTAGAGGAAACTCGCGAGATGCTAGTGGGTTCGTATCGCGAGATCTCTCGATTCTCGCGGGACCTTGTTGGCAGAGCAGTTATCCTGGATGGCGAAGCCTTGGGTTCCGGGGGCCTGGGACCCGCAACTCTTTCTACAAGGCAAGTTGTTAGGGAGGGGCCGGGAGCGAGTGCCTCTTGGTGCCGGGAGACGTGCTAGGTTAGCTTCGTTTAGTCCTGAAGGGACTACATTGACCCCACTGAGGCGACACGGTCCTCCTCCCCACCCCCCTGCGGGCGCTCCGCCACCTGCAGAAGCGTCTGCACCCCTCAGCCCCGGCTCCTTTTCCCCCGCGCAGTGATAGTTCCACCCCCGTCCCACTCCCTTGGAAGTTCAGAGCGATTCTCGCGCAGTCGTGACGATTCCATCGGATACCGTTGCTCGCTCTTTGAAACGTTCCTGTCAGTTTTTCCCCTTGTTGCCATTTTCTAAAGAATTCCAGACCTGTTAACCAGTTCTGTCGCTTGTTTCTGCTGCAGTACCTTTCTCCTCTGGCCATTCTCAGACGCTTAAAACTAAGCGCCTTCTATTTTTTCTCTCTGGGCATCATTTACTCCCACTTACTTGGTCATTGATAACTTCCTCATGACTCTGACTGACTTTGTATTTACAGTAGTTTTTGTAAGTATTTGGAAGGAGCGCTTATATCTCTGACAGTACCTGATGTCAGAATAAAATCGTTTTTAATCTTTTTGTGCGTGCCTGTTAACTCATAATTATCGATATGATTTTGATTACTATATTATGAGGTTGCCATCTTTGATGTTCAAGGATGGTTTTGGGTCATATGTTTAAAGTAATAGTGGAATGTTTTAAGTCAAAATTTTAGTTAAAACCGAACTTGTCTTCATAAACTTTGGTATCAAGGTTTGGTTTTTCTTTAAATGAGTTTGACAAAATTAATTTTTCTCCAACTTTCGATGTCTTACCAGAAATGAATTTACAGTATTTTTTTTTCATATTCTTGAACAGTCTTTGAATTTATTTAGTATTCGTAGTGGGAAGTTAATTACAAAGCTAATCAGATAACTAGGTAATCCACTCATAATTTTTTGTTAAGCTATGAAAGTGTTATTTGCCTTTACATTTAATACAGAGAAGTATATAGAGTAAAACGCTCCCTGTTACACTCTGCCAAGTTGCCTTACTCAGTCTTAAATCTCTGTAACCGTTCTTAGGGTAGTTGTGTACTATTCTATGTATTTTTTTTTTTTTTTTTTAACGAAGAGGAGGAAGTGGAGTGGTATTTTAAGATACACTATCACAACATTAGCAATCAGTAAAAATTTTTCTACTCACCTAAATTTTTATTTAGTGATATATGCCTATTGTCTTGACAGATATATGTATATTTGCTTTTTAAAAAGAAAATTCTTTGTACAGATTTTTTGGTGGTAACGGTTTTGTGAAATTATCTTGAGGGATAGCATTATTTTTGTCCTAGAGATTTAGTATGCTAGTTAGCTTTGCACCAAAATAAAATCCATGTAAAATAGGATTTAAAGAAATAAGGAGTTGAGCTTTATATTTTTATGTTTAGTATTTATACTGTGTTATATATTTATCCTTATATTCATGCTTATATTTTGTGATACTTATATTTTCTAAATTATAACCCAAGTATGTGTATGGTAGTTTTCCAGAAGTTTTAAAAGTTATCAGCTTAGTTAAATAGTTCTGACTATGCAATTTAGTGAGCTTAGCAGGAGAGTGGTAGGTATATCACTAGTTAATACAAACAAATGTACAACTCAGAAGTTGCTAAGCAGCATTTTGTGATTTTTTTTTTATTTTTTTATTTTCCCCCCAAACCTACTAGCAGTATTACTATCAGTCACATGAAAGTGACTTCACTCTTCTTGGGCAGTGTGGTTTTCTGTTGTAATAGTTCAAGTAGGAACGTTGGGGAATGAAAGAGTGTTGAGAGGTTTGATGTGGGAAAGAGGAAAAGGAGACAGGGGACTGTGTAGTTGGATACTGAGATGAAATTGAAGAAGTTGCACAGAAAGGAGAGGATGGTAGAAGGTTGACAGAGCCATGATCTAAGAGGAGGTAGCAGGTTCATTACGGTTGGAGGGCAATTTGAGTTGACCAGAATTTGGAATCTGTAATTCCAGGCAATTTTTTCCTCTTAAAACTTTTTTTAAATGGTTTTCAGTTATCTCAAATATTGCTTGATGTCACTTGTCATAAAAAGTCAGCAACTGAATTTGATACTTAATTGAAATTTTGTGAATTCTTTAGTTAGGTAAAGCTCTTGTTAAATAACATTTGCTGAGTATATTTTATTTTTAGAAGTAGAAAATTGTGAAAATGACAGTGGACTCTAAGGTCACAATTCTGTAATGGCCTTTGCAAAGATATCTACAAAGTTTTGCTTGGTAATTGGGCCTTAGGTAGTTCCTGTGTGCATCTCATTCTTGAGATAATACATGTTTCTTACAACTTTGCTTTATAAATTCTTTTTGGTAGTGGATTTTGAGAGTTACCAGTCCTTTTTTTTTTTTTTTTTTTTAAAGATTTTATTTATTTATTTGAGAGAGAGGGAGAGTGAGAGGGAGAAGCAGACTCTGCTGAGCAGAGAGCCCGATGTGGGACTCAATCGCAGGACTCTGGGATCATGACCTGAGCCGAAGGCAGATGCTTAACCACCTGAGCCACCCAGGTGCCCAAGAGAGAGTTACCAGTCTTTTAGAGACTAGTACTTATCTGAGGTACTGGGTGGAAATATACTGAGAAAATCTGAGGAGGAAGAGGCCTGTATCTCACATGATCTGAATTTGCTTGAGTAAAACTTAAATAACCAAGAAATTTATTTTCCCTTTTCTCAAATTGTCATAAAAGTGATCTGTGAGAGCTGATAAACTTCAGTGATCAGAGGAAATTAATAACAGTGATAATACAGTACTGATCTGTCCTCACAGATTTTTTTTCTTGGGGTTTGAAACAATGCTAATTTCCATAGACCTGTAATTTTGTAAACTATATGGTGTTGATACTTATGTTACATATTAGTTACATCAAGAGTATAAATTTTATTTCCCACCTCTTGAACCAGTGTCCAAGAGAGATAGGAAATTACTTGACCAGAAATGTCAGTGAGAATATGTTGCAGGTGCTTTTTAAAAAAACTTGTCTAATTTCATATGAAAATTCAGTCTGGATTTAACTGCAAGGAATATTTGCTGGAAGACTTTTTGATTTTTCAAGTAGTATTTAATATAGATGTGGTATACATTGTGGTACAAATTTCTGTGGTTAAATGCTCTGATAACCACTGTAATTATACTTTAAAAGTACTGATCAGTGAATATTTCCCAAAGTCTTAAGTGTTGACTTCTAACACCATGGAAGTATAGACTTTGCTATTTTATTTGAACTTGTCCTTCTCACCTCTTTCTGTTTTTTTCTTTTCAGCTGTTCTTTCTCATTTAGGTAGGTAATTTTTGTCTTGTCAGAGACAAGTGAGTTCAGTAACTTTTCCTGAGGAGACTATCAAACTATTCAGTTATTATTATTATTATTAGGAACTCCACTGTAAGTTATATTCAGTAATTCAGCCAACGTTTTTTGAGTGTTAGTGATCTCAGCCATTTGAAACAGCAGGAATCCGGAGGCTTCAGAATAACTGTAATCAAGTACCAAAAGCCTGTGGTCTTTCTTCAGAAACTCCTGAGTTGAGTAAAGTTTTGCAGCACCAACAGGGTTAGTTATCTGATTTTATAGCCCGCAGATGATAAGCCACAGGATTGGTCGTTGGAGTTAGGCACACTGACAGCTGAAATGTTATTTTATTTCAAGGTAAAAGGAAGAAAAGCTATTAAAAAATAGATGGAACTATAGAAGAAGTGTTTTAAGGCCATTGCATAGAGACATACAGTCCTGTTACCATTAACTTCTGAGGGAATCACAATATTGCAGAGAAGTGTAGTAGTACATGGTGTGTCACACGATGACCTTAATCATAAACTTTTATTCTATGTATTGTGTTTAAGGAAGTAAGGAATTGGTGTCTTTTTAAAAGATTGTTATGAGTAAATGTTTTCAAAGCTTTGTTAATTAATGCTTTCAGTTTTCTGGAAAATTGGCTTACAGAACTCATCTGATGATACCAAATAAAAATGATGCTGTTGTGTATGGCATTTCCTTTGTTTTATTTTATTGCTTTTATCTATTTCTTAATTTCCTTATTTATTATTTCAAGGGATTACCTCCCAGATAAGGCTCCCCTACATTTAATATTTGATATCAGTGATAAACAGTTGTCTATAAAGACTAGCACCTTTATTAATAAAGGAATTTTTGAAGCAAATAATTAGAATTTGTCAATGACCAGTTCATATAATTCAGTTCTATAGTTTTGAACACTGATACTGAGTCTCCATCCTTAGCACTGGTGAGTGTCCTGAGGTGAGAAATGTTTCATTTTGTAGTGGATTTTCTTTGTTGCTTTGCTTGCCTTTTCAGTCTCTTTTAATACGTTAATTTAAACTGTTTTTCTCTCTTCATTGTTAGAGTAATGATAGATAGTATTTAAGTATAAACTGTGTTGTGTGTGTGTTTTAATGACTTTAATGGCTGACTTGGGAATTTTAAATCTGAGGAATTAATATAACCATATTAACATTTTGATATACTTCTTACATTATTTAAAAAATACATTTTTATATACTTGCAAATAAAACATTTAATACCATGTTCTGCTTTCTAATCTAATGTTAGGTAACATTTTTCCATTCTCACAATGAGTCTTCATAACCATAATTATAAGTGGTTGTATGATGTCCTGTATGTAGATGTAACATTGCCGTATTCTAATTTTTTGCATATATAAATAACAGTGTGAAGAACATATATATGTATAAGATAATTTCCTGTATATAGTATTATCTTTCGTATATTGCCAACACCAGAAGTGATTTTTAGGTGTATTTTTAAAGGCTTTTAAAGCATATCTGTCACACTATTTACCAAAAGGATCAATTTATATTCATGTTGAAGTGGCTATTGCTCTTTATCTCTATATTAAGTATTATTTATAAAAACTTCACGGGGTGTAAGTCATACCACTTTTTTCTTAGCCTACTACTGAGGTGAAACA